TTCCACTATACAAAGTCTAATCTGGGACAGAAAAGATCCATTCTTTATAGGACATATCAGGGCACATACAGGATTGCCTGGAGCCCTTAGTTTGGACAATGATTTAGTACATAAAACTACACATGACATACATATTTTCTCTACACTAGAAGAAACTACAAATTTTCATAAAAAGTTCCATGTCGATGCTAATACTTTACAAAAGTGTTTTAAAATAACTAAGGAACAAGCTAGACAAATAATAAAACAATGTCAAAATTGTGTGACCTTTTTACCACGTTAATCTTGGAGTCAATCCTAGAGGACTGATACCTAACCATATTTGGCAGATGGACGTCACACACTTGCCAGAATTTGGAAAATTAAAATATTTGCATGTTACAGTTGATACTTCTTCCGGATTTTTGATGGGCTCCCTTCATGCCGGAGAAAAAACTAAAGATGTTATAGCTCATTGCTTACAAAATTTTGCCCTGTGGGCGTTCCAAAACAGTTAAAAACAGATAATGGTCCTGGCTATACTTCTACCTCTTTGAAACAACTTTGCTCATCATTTGGCATTACTCATATAACAGGAATCCCATACAATCCACAGGGACAAGGCATAGTTGAAAGAGCTCATCAAACTATTAAAATGTACTTATTAAAGCAAAAAGAGGGAATTGGAAAGGGGTATATATCCCCCAAAGATACACTTAAAATAACCCTTTTTACTCTAAACTTTTTAAATTTGGATTCATCAGGGCTTAGTGCTGCGGAAAGACATATGTGTCCAAAAAAATGTACATAAGCCCAAGGTACTTTGGAAGGATATTCTAACAGGACAATGGAAAGGTCCTGACCTAGTGATTGTCTGGAGTCGGAGGTCTGTTTGTGTGTTTAAACAGGGAGAACAACAGCCGATTTGGATTCCAGAGAGACTAACCAAAGCGATTTCTACAGACCAAAAAGAAGATGACTTGGCTCAAATCCATAACAGCTGATATCCTTACATCTGCAACAGTGGTTCTCCCACACCTGGAGGCTAATGAATAATGAACACCATTAAAGCCTATTTCAAATATAAAAAACCTTGGGGCTTGCTTGTGGGAATACCTTTAGACCCATTATGCAAGTTACAGGAAGAAGGATGGAATATCAAAAGAAGAGTAAAATCTAGGTGGTAACCAGGATGCTTTTTTTCAATATCTATTTTATTATTGCCCTTTCCCACATCATGAAGTTCTATTTTATTTTTTGAGGTCATACAGACCTAGGTTAATGTTTTTCTGATCAGTTCTATTTTTTGACTGTGGAGTTTTTAAACATTGCAATGGAGATTTTACCTGTGAAAAGCTACAAGGCCTTTACTATTATCTTATGTGTTGTAGATTATGTGTGCATGCTTGTGTTTTGTGTTGTCTATATGTGCTTATGTCCATATATCATATATGAGGAGTGCTCATGAAAAAATGGATCCAAATATTTTTTATTATTCATGTGATTTAAATGGTGTAATTTAAATTGGGTAAACAGCTGTTGAGGATTGTTTTAATATGTGAACAAAAAAGGAGGTTAACAGATCTGTTTGTTTACTTTCACCTTTCCTTTTCATTATATTTAATAATTCTGTTCAGGATAATGTAAATTGTTCAGAAAATTGTTTTCTTAGTGCCTGCTGGAATGTTACATATTTTTTTTTTTAGCCATCATTGCCAGAATTCCTATCTTCATCCCAGTGCCGGTGAAGACAAAGATAAAATCAAACTACAGCTTCTGCAATAGCTATCACAACAAACTGTATAAACTGATGCATCAATGAATAATGTAACTCAACAAGTGATGCTCAATCAAGGAGTCGATTTACTTTGGGAGGAAATGGACATATTAATAGATTCCTCTGCTTTGAACTGCTTGCAGAACTTGCCTGGACTATGTATCACTTGTATGAATTGTGAACTATCTGTTGGTGCAGCGAATTGTGGTAGTGCTGGAGTATCTTTGCTGATGGTGTCATCGGTGGTACAATTTTTCCAAAAGAGCCGTCATTTGGCTTGGTGTCGTGGCATTTTGCATCCTCCTCCCTTCTGCTTGCAAAGGCCAAATTTGGGGGCCAACAGAGGTGAGGCAAAGAACCTCACCCCCCCACGGGTACAAAGGCCAAATTTGGGGGCCAACAGAGATGAGGCAAAGAACCTCACCCCCCCCCCCCCACTGGTGCAAAGGCCTATCCACAATTATGGCTGTATGCTGGACCAGTAGTCAATGACGGGTAAGATCTAATTGCAATGGTACCAACCTAAGACAGGAGGCTGACACGTTGAGGTCAGCTAATCCGATGACGGGTAAGAACCATATGTAGTATTGGACAACCTAAGACAGGCAGGGTCCCTAAGCCACATGCTTGGTGTTTAATTAAACAGAAGGGGGGAGATGCTGAGAGCCACAGCCAAGTGGGAATGATGCATGGCATTTTGCCAGAAGGGAGTGGTTGACAGGTGATGCTGGGGAGCCATTGAAATGATGATGGTTCAGTTAAGCTGTGTATTCAGTTGTATATAGACCCCTGCTGTCCGCCTGGGATGCCTGCTACTTTGTGGAGTTCTCACGGGGATTCCTGGGGAGTTAGTGTTGGTTGGGGAAGTTCCAGTGGAGGGAGTTCTGGTTGGTGTGTGGTGTTCCTGAGAGGGTCGTATGGGTGGCGTCCGGAGGAGTTGGGAAATAAAGTTTGTTCCTGCTTGAGTGGCTCTTGATTTGTGCCCAGCCAGACTGAGATACAGGGGACTAACACATCCTTTGGGTTCATTGCTAGGACACTGAAATTCTTCAATTATAAGTGGTGGCTGGGCTGGGGTTGTGGCTCAGCGGTAGTGCTCATCTAGCACATGTGAGGCCCTGGGTTTGATCCTCTGCACCACATAAAAATAAGTAAATAAAATAAAAGCATTGTGTTCAATCACACCTAAAAAGAAAAAAATATTAAAAATAATGGTGGCAGTAGCAGGCAGAATGATGGACATCCAAATCCCAGGATCAGTTTTGCAGATGTGGGGAGTATGTTTTGCAGAAGGCCCAGTAGCAGCAGCAGCAGATCTGTGTCATTCAGAGAATGATCTCCATGGTAGTGGCCGTGGAGAGATTCCAGGTGTGTTTGGGGGTGGAATTGAAGGGATCTGCTGACAGAGGGGTTGTGGAGGTGGGGGAGGATGAAACAAGAATGACTTCTAGGTTTCTAACTTGAACAGCTAAGAGAAGGACACGCTGACAGACTAGGAAGCCTGGGGACTGGGATGGAGGTGGACTTCAAGGTGTGCGTGGTGTGCATGGGGGTGGTCAGGAGGTCAGGAAATTGTCAGTACCTTAACCTTGGGATGAAAGACACCGCGGTGGAGGTGGCAAGGAGGCAGATGAACATTTTAACCTGGAGTTAGAAGAACCCTTTTTTTCAAGAGCCAAACCTTAATGTAGACATCAAGGGTGTCCCCAGTGAATTACTGATGGGGTTTCAGTACCTTCTATTCAAGTTACCAAAGTCAGAATCAAAACCCTGAAAGGTGAAGCTGATGACCTCTTTGGATACCTACAAACTATACATCAACACATATGACGAAATATTAAAAAAGGAGGCATCTAGCAGAAGAAAGAAAATCAGATCCTGTAGCCTCCAAGAAAACAGACACCACAATGCTTCTGGAATCTTTGCCCCAAAAGATTCGCTCACTGCCAGTGCTCAACACTAAGCTGCTGTTTATGTGCTGCAGAGTCCTGGGCCTTTGTTGGCTAATGGAGGCTATAAGAGACAATAAATAGCTGAAACACATGGGTACAGGAAAGTGCAGCCCATCAGCAGCTGGGCCATGGACCCTCATAAGGCAGTCACGGCTGTTTAAAAACAAACAACTTCTGTCATCCCAGCCTGCTTCCTGTGGGAAGGGTGGGTTTCTGTCTTTACCTAAGTCTACTAATCTTTCTTCCTCTCATTGCACCCCCACCCCCGCCCTCTCTTGCCCACTCTGGGGCCTCAGTCTTGCCAAGTCAGCTCTGATTTTCACAGAGTGAGCCCCTGAATCCATCTCTCCAGCAGGCTTTCCTCTTCAGCACATTCTCTTGGGAGTCTGCTCAAATGTGCCCTAATGCAAGGTCTGCACCACCCGAAACATACTCATGGCTTCCCCAGGTAACCTACTCTACTTCCCTGGACACACACAGCCTCCCCTGTTTTTCCTTGCAAGTTCCTGGATTCTTACATGTAAAACAGGTGGTTGACAAAGGTAAGATGCATATGGTTTGCTTCTGTATGCCCACTTTGAGGGTTACAGGCAGGGAGATAAGTGAGGAAAAAACTACAATGTAAAACTTACAAAGTACACAGTCACTGGGTAAAATTTATAGTTCAAGTAATCACCCACTGTCACACACACAGTTGTGGGTCGCTTCCTCAAAGTCCATTCACCCCTTTGTCTGCTCACAGAACCCATGAGACATTCCACTGGGGGATTTACCAACTCAGCTAGATTGCCGCTTGAGTTGGGCCCATGGGCTGGAGCCAATCCCATCTTCAAGGTTACAGTGAGCACTCAGCCGGGCATGTGCTCTGTGGGGCACGGAACAACACCAGGGCCTCAGCAGGAAGAGGAAGACAATCTCTTTTCTCTTCTGGGTTGACGGAGGGAAGACTGAAGTGAGGCTATGAGAGCCTGTCTTGGGGGCTGAGGGACTGTATGTGTGGACTCAGACAAAACAGACTTTGCAGAGGGACAGTGGAGAATCAGCTAGGAACCACATCTCTGGGGACATAGAGGAGCTGAACTAATGCTGAGTCCAGACACAGAGGGCTGTGTGAGTCTGTCTTGCTGCAGCTGCAGTCAAGAGCTCTAGACTAGGACTGTGCCTGTGAGGCAGGGAGAACACTTGTCAGGCACGCCCCAGGACCTGGGCTCCAACCCCAGCACGTCAAAGAGTTCTGTGTTACAAACTCACAATCCCGCTGCCCAGAGAGAACCAGTGTTGACATCGACATCTTGGGTTCATTTCATTCACTTTAATGCTTCTACATACACAATTTCCTTAATTTTTTTACTTTTACAAAATTGAAGAAAATATATATACTCTTCTGAAATATTTCACATCAATCAAACCTGTTATTATCATTTCTAAACACTGTGCAATATTCTAGGGATATACCATAATTTAACAAGTTTCCTATTACAAATATTTACATTTCCTACTATATTACAGGACAAATTCTTAAAAATTGCTGGTCATAGAACATGTACATTCTTCAGGCTCTGATGAGTCTTACCAAATTGTCCTCCAAAAGGAATACAGCATTTATTGTCCCATCAGCATGGAGACTAGCATGTCTAGGGATAGGAGCTGACCACAGGAGAGATTCTCACTAAGACAATATTCATTTAGTTAATATTTATTGTGTGTCCATTTTTTGCATGACACTGTGACAGGTGCTGTGGATACAGTGGTGAATAAAGCTCTCACCCCTCTTTGAGTTCTTCCGTCTCCCCAGGTGGCAGGTCTGGGCATAGGCACTGTAGCCTAGTAACCAGTCAGGGGTGCTACACACAGTGCTGTAGCATGTGTCTGGCATCCACAGGCCCTGGGCTGGATCCCCAGCAACACACACCCAGAATTCTCTGCATATTCTGCTGGGGTGTGGCTCAGTGGCACAGTGCTTACCTGACAAGTGCTGCGTGAACCACTCAGCCCTGAGGACACAGTGGAGCCATGCTCCGCACTGACGGCCCATGTTTAGCCACTTTCTTCCCCTGTTCAGGTGGCCCAGATGCCCTTGTTGCAGGGTTCTGCTAAGGGGCGGCCCACACAAGGCACTCGGAGACTAGAAGGCAGGAGGAGGCAGAAGCCCTTATATAGCATAGAGACACATGTTCCTATAGAGGCACATGTTGGCGAAGGGACATGTGCACAGGCTGCCGTGAGGGCAGCAGCAGTGGACAGCCAGGGGTTCATGGAGCTGCTGGGAGGCAAAGGGGGCATCAGTGTCCCATGCAGGGGCTACAACAGCTACCTGTATAGTCTCAAACTCTGGATAATCCAACGCCCCCTCCCCACGCTGGCTCCTTCATCCCATTTAACAACCTCTATAACCTAAAGCCCAACAAATTCTCTGTTTTGCTTTCCTGAATGACAGAAAAGCCTGTCATTAAAATTACCCTTGAAAACCCAGCAGGAGTTGTCCTGAGGCTTCCGACAAGCCTCAGAGCCAGGCTTTCAATCAACGACAGAAGAAACTGCTGCTCCTCTTTTTGTTCAGCTGGATACCACATGAACGCAGTATCCAGCTTTCAGAAGACAGCTATATGAGGAGTACCATTCACAGACACTAGAGTCTAGGCAGACGGGGTGTGCAAGCAGTGACACACACCAGCTGGAGGAAGAGAAGATCCACACATCCACCTCTCGCCTTTCTGCACCAGGAACGAACTGCACCTGAGCCCTGGAGGAACAGAGTGCAGAGTGGCATGTGTCTCGGTGCTGAGTGTGCCGTGCACCCACACAGCCAGCACCACGGGTGAGCCCTCCCCTCTACTGCTCTGCAGCCCCATGGGCATGCTCCTCTCCACATAACAGCACTTTCATAGGAATGTTAGTAAGTTTCTCATGCTCCACAATAGACGCCATCACCTGCTCCGGCCATTGTAAACATCACTGCCGAAAAGAACTTTACTAAGTGCTATAGTTTGGATGCCAAATGTCCCTCAAAGGTGCACGGGTTTCTGGCCCACATCCTGGTCCTGGACGGACTATAATTTTTGAGTTTCCCTCCATGTGAGGTAAGCTGGCTGAGAAATATAGCGAAAAACCACCCAGCACAGAAAATAATTTTCAAAGAGCGAGGGCGGGATGGCTCTGCAACCTCAGGGGTCCTGCCTCCACAGTGGGAAGAGAGAGAGAAGAGCCCACGTTTGCTTTATTTATACAAGGGGGCTGCAAAGGATTTCAATGGAATGTTCTTTTGCCAAATAAGGTAGGAGGGGGGCTGTCCAAGCCCAATGGGTAATGCCCAAGCCCGGAGCTAAAGAGCAGCCTCTCTAGCCCAGTGAAGACTGAGCTTACCACATGCTGTGTGTAATCCATTAAGTGGGAGAAGCCTCAAAATGACTTTTAATGCCAAACCAAAATCTCCTTGGCTTCAAGGCCGAGTAGAGGCTATTCAGATAGCTCAGCAATGGCCCCCCATACGTGCTAAAAGCTTGGTTCCCGGAGTGCTGTTGCCAGGAAGTAGCAGGACCTTTAAGATGAGGGGCCTGGTGCAAGGTCTCCAGGGTGGGGCCTCCCCCCCCCCACCTCCTCCTCTTTTGCTTCCTGGCCACGAGGTGACCAGTTCTGCTCTGCCGTGCACTCCAGCCATGCTGTGCTGCCTCACCACAGACCAAGGCAACAGGACCAACTGATCATGGAGTGGAGCCTCCAAAACTGTGGAGCCAGAACAGACCTTTTCTCTTTACAGGGCCGACTGTCTCAGATATTTTGTTAGAGTAATGGAAAGCTAACATGTTAACATGTGTACAAATTAAGACAAACTAACAAAAATGGAAAAGAAATGGTAACCTCTGCTTAACTTTGTTCTTCTGTGTCTTCTTCTTCACTATCATCTTCAGAATGAAAGATATCTCTAAATAGGAAAACCTGCTTGGGTGCTGTGGGAGTCTGGATTCTGGTCCCTTTTCTCGCCATCTTCTTTTTTAACTTTTCTTTAAGCACAGGTAGACTAGTCTTGTAAAGGTAGTCGATGATCTCTGCAGAACACAAATTTAACCTTGAAATTATTCACCTGCACAAAACCTCTTACATCAAAGAACATAGGATACAATAATGCACCGATCTTATCACCACAGGTTACTCACTTTCTCTCGCCCAGACCTTGAACAAACCCTATGAGTTAGGCCCTATTTTTAACCCAGTTTCCCAGTGAGAAAACTGAGGCAGAAAGAGCAGCTTGCCCAAGGCCATGGAGCTAATGGGGGTGCAACCTGGGAAGTGGCGTGAGCTAAATGCAGAGCAGTGCCTCAGCACACGTTCCAGAGTCCAAGGTCACCCCAACTGTGGCTCCAGGCAGAGCACTACTGTTGGGAAGGCTATAGCACACCTCCCTGGAGCATGTTATAGGGAAACCCAGATTGTGCACTCTGTACAGAGAATCTATGTTTCTAACTAGTGCCCCACAGAGTCCCGATGATCTGAGTGTGGGAGCCACACAGCTAAACTCCCTATGGAATCAGGCACCTTCCATTCTTTCTAGAACAGCATGTCGTGTGGTGTGAGTACATGGGGAAGTGTGTGGGCTATGCTGTCTGCACACGTACACACGTGCCATGTGCACATGTGTGCACAAGTGTGTGTGACAGAAGCACCAGCAGGACACAGTTACTGAGTGGTCACCAAGTACCAAGCACCATGATAACCACATAACATGGTGCATCCCCTCACTTGGTCCTTTTGAAACTCCTGCTAGATGAGGATATGATTGCCAATATTCACCATTTTACACCTGGTGAAGCTGAGGTTCCAGGAATCACGTCACCTGCCCACATGACTGGCTCTGAGCCACCCATGTTCAAAGTACTGACCTGGAAACGTCTTTCTCTGCCAAAAGGGAACACAGGCCGCCTTCAGCTTATAAAACTTAGTTTGAACATAAGATGGAGGCACATCGCTTTAGAAAGAAAAAGATGAAAATGTCAGTTAAAAATTATCATTTCAATACTTGCGTAGTAAGCACATTTATTCAGGTGGGGGCTATACACACCTAGTTTTCTTATCTTGAACCTGAAATCATCACATGCATAAATGTGTGATAGAAATGAGACATATAGGGCTGGGGATGTGGCTCAAGCGGTAGCGCGCTCGCCTGGCATGCGTGTGGCCTGGGTTCGATCCTCAGCACCACATAAAAAAACAAAGATGTTGTGTCCACCGAAAACTTTAAAAAATAAAAAAAATTAAAAAAAAAAAGAAATGAGCATATAGAGTCATCTGCTGTGCACGAGGCATCAGCCAAGCTCAGTCTCCCCAAAATTATAAGAGCAGGATAACTCAAAACGAGGAAACCCAATAAAGCCAGTGATTTCAGCGACACAGCAAACCAGCCAACACCAGGGGAGTTGTAAGCACTGGAAAAACCTTTTTTTAAAAATATTTATTTTTTTAGTTATAGGTGAACACAATGTCTTTATTTTACTTTATGTGGTGCTGAGGATGGAACCCAGTGCCCCAGGCACGCTAGGCGAGTGCTCTACCTCTGAGCCACAACCCCAGCCCTGGAAAAACCTTTTTGTAGTCTCAGAGTGTCATCAGCAAGGAAATAAGAAGCTACAAATTAGAAAAGAAGGTTGAAAAAAAGAGTAACAGTGAGAGCAAAGAAAACCGGGAACCAAAATCAGATGGTCCTGTTGAAAATGCCAGTGAGGACGAGGCCCCGTCAAGCAGTTGGCGAGAGAGAGCCAATAAACACAGTGGGTCCCACTGCACTCAGGTGATACAAGACCCAAGGCAAGGGAGACCTGGACCCCAGACAGCTATCGGTGTCAACCTGAAGCAAATAAGTTATCCCAGTAATAGGAGAAATGACACATGACGCTGGAGGCAACAGAGAAACAAAGAGATGATGAGGAGGAAATATCTGGTGTGAGGAGTGTGGGATGATATCTGCGGTTCCTTCAAAGCCAAGGAGGAAGATGAAGACCGGGAAGAGGACAAGGCAGAAAAAACCCTAAAGGGAACTTTGATCATTTGTATGGTCACCGAGAACATGGTGAAAGGACAGGTCAGCCATTTCAAAGTGAAACTGACACCAGTGTAACGCATTACGACGACAGCAGTGGGTGTACAGGTGTCTCCTGGTGGAGAAGCACTGCCTCAGGAGTGTACTGAGTGTCAAGCTGCATGTTACTTCACTAGAGAAAACTTGGAGAAGATGGATGAGCAAGCTTCCTGACTGCCTGACTTCACATCAGGCTCTCACCACAGACCTTAATCCCATTTTAGAGGCCCTGAAGGACAGCACAGAAGTAGAAGTGGATGAAAAAGTGAGGAAAAAGAAAGAGCCAGAAAAATGGCCAGCTCTGGGCCCTCCTCCCAGAAGCACGCCACAGACAGGCTTCTCGTGGCTGGTGGACTGTCCCCAGTTCCTGCCAGGCCAAGCCTTTTGCTCAGGTGCAGTCAGGGTGACCATCTACTGAGGCACGACAGTGAAGAGCTCACAGAGCCAGGATGGTGGCTGGCTTTCCAGAAGCTACCTGCCTTTTCTGTGTGACTGGACTTAGGCCACATGGCTACTTTTATTTGAGAGGGACGCTAATCATCATCACTGTGGAAATACTGCAAGGTGCTGTCTTTTGTTTCCAGGCGTATTTCCAGGTACTTGTGCCCAGGTCAATCGAGCAGAGAGCGAGGACTGTGGGCACTTCCCAGCTTGCTGACCTGGGCTCCTGTTGACCCTGCCTTTGTTGTGGCAACACTACATGACTCACGCGTCATCATGTTTCCCCTGGACAGTGAGATTCATTGATGTGGACATTTCAGGGGTAAGAAATTGAAGAAATAAACAAGGATATTTTCCCATTACTCTTCAAAATGTGTTTTCGATACACCAGTATAAATCCTGCCTGTCAAAAAGCATTAATGGACGATTTCACAGAAATTTTTTTTCTCCTATCTCTTTGTCAGCCCTGTGCTTCTATTCCAGCAAGCAGCCTGGGCAAGTGTTTTAAAAGCTGAACAAATGTGACACTGTTTGCTTGCTTGTTTTTTGAAGATAAAATGGCTGATTGTAAAAGTTACATTTATTTATTGTATAAACTTGGGCCCAAGATGACATTTTTAAAAAATCTTGTTTTTAGATATACATGAATACGATCTCTCTATTTTGTTTATTTATTTTATGTGGTGCTAAGGATCGAACCCAGTGCCTCACATGTGTGAGACAAGCACTCTGCCACTGAGTCACAACCCCAGGCCCCTAAGATGACATTTTTAACCAGCTTATGAACAATCTTGTTAAGTTGGAAAATATAGAAAATACTTTTTCTACAGGATAATTTACGACAGTCAAGTTGGTGATGCCTGTCCATTAACTTTTTATGCATCATTAATAAAATTACAATAAAAAAGAAAGAAATGAGACACATATGAAGTTATTGCTCATTTGGACCAAAAACAACAAAGCAGCTAGGTGTAGCTCAGGCACGGAGCGCATGCTTAGTGTGTGGAAGGCCCTGGGTTCAATCGGCAGCACCAAACAGTAGCAGCTCTTCGGGACGGCTCTGCTCAGCTGAAGGAGGAAGTCACCAGTGGAGACGCGGTGTGGCAGCTAACCCATGTGGAGCTTGCCTGGGGCTGGCTGCCAATGGCCTCACACAGCACCAACAATCCTCGAAATACTCTGGGCTGGAGCTGCTCCTCTCCCTCTTCTCCCTCTCACTTTGGAGGTGAGGAAATTGAGGCACAGCTAACAAAGGCGGGTGCTAGGACTTGTGCTGAGTAGTCTACTCCAGATCTACACCATGGTCACCACCCTTCAGACAGGTACATTTGTCACAATTCCAAGGTGGATATATATTTTTTTATGTGCAGAACTAAACAAACAAACAAACAAAGCCTACGGTGTTTTGATTTTCAATTTACAATATATTTCAACTAATAATAAGCAGGACAGAAACAACCAAATCTAATATTGTTTTTAAAGTAAAAATCACTTAACTAAACTATCTGGATTTTTTTTTTTTTTTTTTTTGTACTGGGGATTGAACCCATTGGATCACACCTCCAGCCTTTTTAATATTTTAAGACAGGGTCTTGCTAAGTTACTCTCTCACTAATTTGCTGAGACTGGCTTTTAACTCTTGATCCTCCTGACTCAGCCTCCTGAGCCATGGGATGATAGGCGTGTGCACCACGCCCAAAAAGGAAGAAAAATTTAAAAGGAGCCAAGCACCCATCTTAAAAAGTGGAAAAACAAAGCAAAATATTGACTCAAAGAGAGCTGGGAAGTTTTAAGAGACTTTGAGCACATTCCATTTACCTTTAGTGTCTTCAGTGGGGGTGGAGGTGGGACGGTTGATCAGATTTGCTGATCCACAGTACACAGAGTTCTTTTTTTGGGGTGTGGTGTTGGGGATTAAACCCAGGGCTTGTGCACGTGAGGCAAGCACTTTACCAACTGAGCTATATCCCAAGCCCCAAAGTTCCTGAATACACATGTTTATGTAACATGCATGTACCCACCAATGCTCCACGCAGTTTGTCACCAAGAATATATCTTGGAGCTCTCTACTGCCACCTAAAGGCTTTCTCATTCTCTCCTGAGCTAAACAGTATCTCACCACACCAGAGCCATCTATCTACCCACCCAGGACACTATCAGTGGGCAGTCAGGCTGTTCTAGAAAAACACTATACATTACATTGTTCTGCACAGAAGTCATTTCAATTTTGTGTGAATTTATTCTGTAGAATATATTTCTAGAAATGGAATTACTCAATTCCAAATAGATTCACTCAAAAGGAAAAATTAGAATTTTCAATGGCACTGAGGCCATAGAGCACATCAAATCTGCCACATATTAACAATGTCCAGAGGGGGAAACACAGAGGCTTAGCAAGGATGGCTTCAGCTACTGAAGGGGGTGACAGAAGCAAAGGGCCATTTGTTTTGTATTTGTCTAAACTTTCTCTGACAAAAAGTTCCGGGGGGTGAAAAAAAAAACTACAATGCTGGTAAAATAGTACATAGAGGAAAACATATGGCTTTGAATTACAGCAGAAAAAAAGAGAAATTTAAAAGAAGCCAAGCACCCATCTTAAAAAGTGGAAAAACAAAGCAAAATATTAACTCAAAGAGAGCTGAAGGAAAAATACAATAAAGAGCAGAGCAGACCCCAAAACAACAAGCAGAGGGTGGGCAGCTCAGAGCTGGTTCTTTGAAAAGACAACCTCTATGACTCTTGTTCAGGGAGAGGAAAAATCGAACAGTGCTCCTGTTCTGTAGCAGGCACCTAGGGTAGGATGCCCAGGAGGGGCACGGGTGTGGGCTTCCGTGGGGCTGGGGCCACCCTTTACTGTTTCCCCTCCCAGCAGCCTCTCCAGTTCTGGACCGTGTAACCTACTTCCTATTCTTTAAAATATTATAAATCTCACACAATAAACCCAAGTCCTTCTTCCTTTTGGGTGTGGGTGTAATATTCAATTCTGTATTTGCATTCTCATATGCCTCTAAAAAAATCCTAACTAGAACACAGTCCCAGAACCACATTAACTCACCAGAGCAAGAGCAATGGCAGGACATTATAACCATCGGGGAGCTTGGAAAACAGAGGACACCCAGGCTCCACCCCAGACCAACACTCCTGGACTGCCTGGCTGTGGCATCAACATTCCCAAAAAGCTCCCCAATGAGCTCAATGTGCAAGCTGGGCTGAGAACCCAAGTCAGGGCGCCACAAGGGTCACAAAGCTCCAGACTAGGCACACAGGGAGAACCGTAACCACTGCCATGTCTGCAGACAGTGCCATGTCGTCATGGCACTCATGACACTCATATGTCTCAGTAACCTGGGATGCAGGGCAGCCTGGCTCAACCGCTGCCGTCACACACCCTGGCCATCCTTTGTCCCTCTGATGTGCCAGCCACTGCCTGCCTCCCCTGACTTTCACATTGCTCCCCTCTGCCTAGGACACTCTTCTACTCCCATCTGGTTTATGTGTTGCCCTTTGTGACCACCTGGAGAGGTCTTCTAACCATCCTATGTCATGACTCCCTCCCCAGGTCTCTTCTACCCTACTTTATTATTTTGTTAGGACCCAAGCTGTCTGAAACTAGCTTACTTGCTTACAGTCTTTGTTAGAGGAGAGGTGAGCCCTGGAGTCCTAACTCACTCGAGTCTTGTGTGACTCGTATGCAATACGGGGTCAGGAAGTAAACTCCGTTACTGCCATCACTGCTGTCAGCATAGTTTGTTGAGGGTTTTTAGGTCAATTCCTTAGTATACAAAAATATCTCTATCAACGGAACAGAAGCTCCGCCAGGGAAAGCAGCTGTCTTGTTCAATGCTGCATCTGAGGCCAGGAAAACGCATGGCACACAGCTGCTCATCCTGGTAGATGAAGAGCGACTGGGCCTTAATTTTCTAGTAAAGAGACTGAAAAGGAGCACACGCCAGAACCTCTTGGTCTCCAAGGCAGAGTGTGCACAATCTGTCTCTGCCGCCTCGCCTGCCATGGTCAGTGGACAGCATGCTGACACTTTCCTAGTTACACCCATATTTTGGGGGGGGGGAGGTGGGGTACAACCAGGGATTGAACTCCGGGGACATTCAACCATGGAGTCACATCTCCAACCCAATTTTTGTGTTTTAATAGAGAAAGGCTCTCACTGAGTTACTTAGTGCCTCACTATCGCTGAGGCTAACTTTGAACTCGAGATCCTCCTGCCTCAGCCTCCCGAGCTGCTGGGATTACAGGTGTATGCCACCACGCCCAGTCTACAATCATATTTTTCAATTGAACACTCAACTAAGTGGGCTGGGGTCACAGTATCATGCTCTACCTGAAGTCTAATCTCAGAGCACTTCGGGTATGACGAGCCACAGCCCTCAAGTGCACAAACACACAGAAAACAAAAAACGTCCAATTAATGCTATTTAGTGAAATGAAAGCTTACCTAGCTAATAACTCAGTACCTTTAATTGTCTGCTTCTAAAATTTATTATTTACTCTGAGTTATATCAAATTGGTTATCTTGCAAACCGGATTAATTTTAAGTATCATTTACACATAATTCCATATGCAGCATGAATTTCAGACCCACTCTTTAAATTCTGAGTCATCTCTAGTTTGTAAGTAACTTAGTATTTAACAAATGGTCTTACCCTATGGCACTAGCAAGATCTTCCCAATCTATTTCATTGGCGTCTTCCACATTTATTTCATATAACCTGTAAGAAAGAACAATGAAAATCTCAACCAAAAATCAGGACAAAGCACATCTTCATGGAACCCCGGGATGTCAATGGCTGGAGGCAGCTGGGGTGTTTGTCCCATCCAAGGCCAGGCCACCAGGCATGTCAGTGACTGAGCATCTGTGCTCAGCACTCACAGCACGACAGCCATGGTGTGAAGACCTTTCTGCATCGTCACTTAGAGTGACCCTTGACATCTGTGATGAGGTTGGGGGACAAGGCCCATTCTAGACTCAAGGAAATGGGATTGACAGGCAGGCCACTTGCTCAAGGCTTCACAACTAACAGGTGTGCCAGCACTGGCCCCGGCCTGCCTGACCTGACCTGCTCGTCTATGCTGTCTGTCTCTCTGGCAAGGGAAGAAAGGTGGCCATGTAACTAGCCAGGCGAGTATCGAGAACCAGGAGGCACCCCAGTGAACCAAGCAGAAGGGCTGACAGGGCGCCCAGAGCCAAGCTCTCCGCTCTTTGCTGTTAGTTGGTCAATACAAGCCCAGGCCACATCTCCTTTGCCCTTGGAACGCTCCTGGGAAGACTCTAAGAGACCAAGCCACAATGCAGAGCAGCAGGGCTCTGTCTGAATTTTCTACTCACATTTTCCAATGGACAGAAATAACTCCCATCCATAGGGAAAGCTCTGAAGACTGAAATAACCAGTGAAGGAGTACACAGAATGCTCCATGCACATGTCTCCACCCGACCCTCCCAAGGACAGCAGGAGGCAGGGAACTTCTCATCTTCAGCCTCATTTAAGGCAAACAAGCAGACTGAATTTGTTCCACCCACAGTACCTGTAGAAAGTGCCAGAGCTTGTACCTAACCCTTAGCAATGACACGGCAATCTCTGCTATGTCAACAGCCACTCTGGCTAGAGAGAAAACCCATTAAAATAGCACCAATTTCTGTCCCTGTACCTTTCAATAAGGTTGATTTTGGCCTGCAGCGCGTTCACTCCACGATACACAAACCCACCATTAGTCATCCTCTTGGTCAGAATTTCCGTCCTGTGTGAAAAGGAATAAAAACTTCTTTTTTATTTCTAACATTTCGATGACTTTCTAATGTTCAACACATTTACCATCATCAAGAACATACCTATTTGAAGAAAAAAAAGAAAAAAGTGGGAAGGAATTAGTAAAATGATAGAAAGTTATTGATTTCTTAAATTTGAATGATGGATGGGAAATTCTACAAATTATAAAATTTTCGTAACGAAAGTTTTAAAAAGGGAGGAAAAAAATAAGCCTATTAACAGGTGCTATGTCTATTAAAGGTGCTGTTTAAACTCAATTCACGGGCTAGGGCTGGGGCTCAGCAGTAGCCACTTGCCTGGCATGTGTGAGGCACTGGGTTTGATTATCAGCACCATGTGTAAATAAATAAAGGTCTAAACAACAACTAAAAAAATAAATAAATAAACTACTCAATTCACCTTTGTTTATACAGCATATGGACACTGTCCTTGTTACCATTCCCAGTGTCTGGAACACCAAGCAGAGCACTTTTAGAAAAGTGGTAAGAGAAGTAATGAGCCTTCTAGTGTCAGTAAAGCTCTGAGTGACAGTGCTCACCCAACTAAACACTTAAAAAAAATACTAATCTTGAAGAATGAAATTTGGTACAATCTGATGGACAGACTGTTAGCTCTTCAGATCACATTCTTGATAAAGGAGATGCTAGGCACCCACGTAGGTGACCGACACTGATCTCCCCAACAGCCCGTTGTTCACAGGTTTGAAAAGTATCACCTGAGGCCACTTCAGCGTTACCTGAGGTAGACATATGTTCAACATGCAAAGTTTCCCATTTTGAAATTACAAACACTTTTGTCTGCCTTAAATGTGTTGATTCTGAAGGGCACCCGCCTTGATCACTCCCCCTGAAATGCTCAGCCGTCACCTCCTGCTACAGCTTGGGCAGAAGGGCTCTGCTCCCTCCGTGTCACATGCCCCCAACACTCTGTACTCTGGAGTTTCCCTAAGTGTAGTCTCCCATGAAAACCAACAAATATGGGGCTGCGGCTGCAGCCAGATCAGGACTAAGCCTCTGGGTGACTGACCAGGGTGCCACTGGCTTACTGAAGGTGAGAACAGAAAAGCCAGAGAGAGCAAAGCTAAAAAGGCAAAGCCACAATCAATGACCACCATTCTCAAGACTTCTCTTCTAAACTCGAGTTTCCTACCATTAAAAAAAGAAAAAAGAAAAAAGCTCTCTATGGGCTGGGGATGTGGCTCAAGTGGTAGCACGCTCGCCTGGCAGGCGTGCGGCCCGGGTTCGATCCTCAGCACCACATACAAACGAAAATGTTGTGTCCGCTGAAAACTAAAAAATAAATATTGAAATTCTCTCTCTCTCTCCCTCTCAAAAAAAAAAATGCTCTCTAGTTTTATAAACGAAATAAAGTCAGAGTCAAAAATCAGAATTCCATTTCATTATTAAAAAGGCTTAAGTTCTGGGTGAAGAAGCCATTTGTTCCAGCATGGAACACTCCTCAAGCCAGCAGCTTGCACCTATCTTTGAGTCAGAGCAAATCAGGTGCTCATTTAATTCAGATGTTGACACTGGAGCAGTTGGGGCAATGGGCCGCAGAAGTTCACTTCTGACCTGTGAGTGTGCATGGACGTTCTTAGCAGCCTCGCCTCTCCGCCCTAAACCAGTGAGCAACGCAGGAGAGTCTTGTTGAAGTTTGTATTAGAAGTCGTAAACTTACCACTTACTTTTGCACTGCATCCAATTTCTGGTTTCCACTTTAGCTTCCACTTCCACCCAGGATATGCCCTTGTAGAGTTTTTCCCGGACGATTGACAGGCGACCTTCAGGATTCTCTTGGAGCTGTGAATCCATCTCTTCCATCTCCTGGGGAGACATTTTCTTTAAAATCACCTCTTCAACAGCCTTGATGAGCCTCCGTGTTTCCGTCTTATTCCAAGCACCGTGATTTCTTTCTGTAGACATAAAAGGATGGCCTTGTAGCTGCTAATCTACATGCTTTCAAAAACAACCCGAAACAAGAAAAAGTCAGGCACTTGTCAGAAGATAATGGACGACATCAAATTACAAACAAAAAACCATCAAATTGGGGCTGGGGTTGTGACTCAGTGGTAGAGCACTTGCCTAGAATGTGGGAGGCACTGGGTTCGATTCTCAGCACCACATAGTAAATAAATGAAATAAAGGCCTATCAGCAACTAAGAAAGTATTAAAAAAAAATCAAATTACATGCTAATTTTTTTTTAAGTTTTAGTTGTAATTAGACACAATACCTTTATTTATTTATTTTTATGTGGTGCTGAGGATCGAACCCAGGGCCCCCGCACGTGCTAGGCAAGCACTCCACCTGAGGCGCTCTACTGCTGAGCCACAATCCCAGTCCAAATTACATGCCAATTTAAATAAAATTATTAAGCTTTAGTATTTGGCCATGATTCTTTTTCAGAACCAAAGCCAGAAATTATTAAACAGACGTCCCAGGCTGGCCGTGTAGCTCAGTGGTATAGAACTTGCAGTGTGCATAAAGCCCTGGGTTCTGCCCCAGTGCTGGAAAAAAAGTCCTTTCTTTAAACAACGATTTCATTCAACTTCAATGAAGTTGTTCTTCCTGTTTCCAAGAGCAACGTCTACTACGCGACACTGTGAGGCTCCCAAGCATGTGTCAGGAAAGAGTCCAACAACTTTCTTGTCATGCACACACCTCCCTCCTCAGCTCCTCCTGTGATATTGGTGGTCACTGTGATGCCCACCCAGCACTTGACAAGAGGTCCCAGAGTCGCCCTAAGGCCATCCTCCTGTGCAGATGTCAAGAAGCATCAGAGGAGCTTATTCCCTGGGGACAGGCAGGTGTCAGAGCATTAGAGTTAGCATCAGACCACAGCCTGCACAGGGCTTCAGTTTGGCCCCCAGAGTATTATCCCCTCCTGCTCCACAATAATAATTTGGATAAATATTTGGAAATAAAGAGATTTCCAAAGGGAGAAAAAAGATACTTAGAATTCACAAAAATTTTTTTTTTGGTACCGGGGATTGAACTCAGGGGTACCCAACCACTGAGCCACATCCCCAGCCCTATTTTGTATTTTATTTAGAGACAGAGTCTCACTGAGTTGCTTAGCACCTCACCATTGCTGAGGCTGGCTTTGAACTTGTGATCCTCCTGCCTCAGCCTCCTGAGCTGCTGGGACTACGGGCGTGGCCACCGTGCCTGGCACAAAATATTTTTAAAATTCCAGATTTTTGCTTTTCTTCTTGGAAACTGAAAGGACTGGCTGCATCACACTACTTGAGTGCCAGAACACGGACTCTGTGTTCAATACACCCCACCTGAGGCCCGTTTTCTCAGAGCAATCTGGGACGTTTTAACGGGAAGAACGTAATTAAAGGAACTTTCTCTAAATGAAGAGTAAAACTGACAGAAGACACCAGTGCTTTTCCTCCCTGCCAAAAGGCCACCGAGAGCGCGCTTCCCTCCCACAGGCTCCTCCACCTAGCTCCCCATCCAGCCTCCGTGGCAGTTATATTCTCACTAAACTTAGATGTAGTCAAAACCAGTGTAGTAAAGGTAGCACAGGTTCACTGAATGCATAAAAAAGTGAAATGAATGAGCAGAGAAAATGACCCTAAAATAAAGAGTGCTCTCAGAGGCCAGCCAGCAGCAACCTCTGGGGGCTGGCTCAGTTGTGGCTCCTTCACCATGAGGTAAGTCACTTACGACTGCTGATCTGGGAGAACTTCAGGGCAACCGAGAGGCTGCTTCGGGCCACCATGGCTCCAATCTTTTTCCAGTCGTTCCCGTGGAGGGAATGGTATGCCTTCAACTTCTCCGTATCTCCTTGGCTATACCTGAGAGAAGAAGAATGTTCCTAAAAATGGTAATCACTGTAGCATGCTGCCAGCATGGGAAGAGCCAAATGCAGGGCGCCAGGAGCCTGCATCCAGGCCTGACGATCCCCGCTCCCATCCCTGCATCTCAGGATCTCAGCAGAGCAAATAACTTCTTGGTCCATTTTCACCTCCCAGCCTCTGTACCTGTGGTGGAGGCAGTCCGCTGACCCGCTGCCTGAATAGCAGTACAAAGGTGCCCCTCAGAGAGGGCTGCCCTGCTCCCCTCCCCAGCTCTGGTCATGACCTGCAATTACACATCACGGGCTCTCGCTTGCTGGTGTGGCTTCCTCTAGACCATGGCTGCCTGATAGAAATATGTTAGCCTCACAGGGATTCACTTTCATGGAGTATTAATGAAATTAATTGAAGAATACATTCTCTTTAACCCCATGAAGAATGCTATCATTTCATTATGTAATTCGTATCAAAAAACACTGAGCTGTTTTACATTCTTTCCTTCATATCGGGCCTCCCAAAGCCAGTGTTTCCTTGACTCTTGCAGCAACCATAATTTGGACCCACTAGGTTTCAAGTGTCCAACAGCCACCCGAGGCTGGTGGTCATATTGTGGATGGCCCAGCTCTGGAATGGAAGTTCTACAAGGACAAGGACCCTGCTGGTAATGTCCTCTATGGTATCCACAATGCCTAAGAGACAACAGATATTCAGTAAACATGTAGCCAATGGCTGAACACAAATACGTATCTTTTTAAAGATTTAAAATGCACTAACCCCATGAAAAAACAATTACCAAAAAAAGCACTATAAAATTAAAAATACATTTGAGATTAAAATACCTTAAATATTTTAAGTGAAATAAAGCAATCATTCTAATAAACTAAGATTCCTAACCCTCAGTATGGGTAGAGGAACGCAGGTTATGTTACTGCTTTGGCAAACAAAAGTAGTTCTAGGAAAATACTAATTCCTGATAATAGCAATCCAGAACTCCTTCAGCACAATAACATCCTAAGGCTTTCAGAAACTCATTGTCAATGCAGACCACTGGGACTCTACAGGGACTCTACGCTCTTCATTATTAAGAATAATGGTGGGGCTGGGGTTGCGCCTTGCACATGAAGGGCCCTGGGTTAGATCCTCAGCGCCACGTAAAAATAAATAAACAAAAATAGAGGTACTATGTCCAACTACAACTAAAAAAAAAAAATAAAAATAAAAAATAAAAAATGAAGAATGGTGTTGGGGCTGGGGTTGTGGCTCAGTGGTACAGTGCTTACCTAGCACGTGTGGAGTGCTGGGCTCAGTCCTCAGTACCATATAAAAATCAAATAAAGGTACTGTGTTCAACTACAACTAAAAAACAAAATATTTAAAAAAAAAAGAAGAAGAATGGTGTAGCTGGGTGTGGTGATGCACACCTGTAAGCCCAGTGGCTCAGGAGGTTGAGGCAAGAGGATCAGTAGTTCAAAGCCAGCCTCAGCAAAAGCGAGGTACTAAGCAACTCAGTGAGACCCTGTCTCTAAATAAAATACAGGATAGGACTGGGGATGTGGCGTTGTGGTCAAGGGCACCAGAGTTCAATCCCCAGTACACACACACAAAAAGAATAATGGTATAAAACAAAACCTCCTAGTACTTCCCCCTCAAGGTAGTCAGGGTCTTCCTGAGATAAAACAGCAACTTAAAGATGCTTGCAGCAACAGCACAAGGGAACTAGGAGGGATAAGTGTACAACAGGGAAAGAGATGTGCTGACCTTGAACACCTGAGCCTAAATTCTAAACCTAAAGCCTTGGTCTTTGACTTCCTGGTTCCTTTCAGTGAGGAACTCTTCGGTTAAAGAAAGACTCTAAGGTAGTGACCACCCCAACACAAATCATGTGGCACAAACAAACAAATTAACTTCTTAAATCATTTTAATAATAAGAGTATTACTATTCCAAAGTTTATTCTCGTACTTATGTTGCAAGCAAAAACAGGTTACCCTTGCTGCCACCATAGACTTGCCAAAGGCATGCTTTTAAGTGCCATTTAAGACACCGTCTTCAGTGAATTTTCCTAAAGCTCTACTCACACTGTCTAATCTTGGGGTTTGGGAAAAGGGTAGGGTGGGTCTGTGTGTGGAAACTTTCCTCACCCAAAGTTGAGAGTAAGAACCACATTAAGCGCTCTGCATAGAAACCCCAGGATTGCATGTAAATGACCTAATGTTCATTTTTACTTCCACCTTTAAACCCAGAGAATTGTGCTAAAAGGCAGACGGGTGCATCATGTGGGGAGCGCTGAAGTCCACAGGCACTTATGACACAGAGGAGAGCAGGGGTGGCGGTGAGAGAGGTAGGGCGTGTTGAGTGCTAAACCAAACACAAAGGAATGCCGAGATTCAGGCAGAGGTTACAAAAGGATTATTAAAGAGGTGGAAACTTAAAGGACCTTGAAGACAAATTGAAAAATATCCAATCCAGTTTCGCATGTAAAGTTCCTCATGACTTTTGTTTTCCATCTGGTGCTAAGGATATTTTGATTTATTTTTTTTATTTTTTTTTTTTTTTTAAAAGAAAGAGAGAGAATTTTTTAATATTTATTTTTTAGTTTTCGGCGGACACATCTTTGTTTGTATGTGGTGCTGAGGATCGAACCCGGGCCGCACGCATGCCAGGCGAGCGTGCTACCGCTTGAGCCACACCCCCAGCCCGGATATTTTGATTTATAATGTCAGCAAAGAACTTTTTCTCTAGAGAAAAAAGTTCTGGCTTGAATTACAAGACATTTATCTTACCTGCCTTTGTAATTATTGACGTCAAACATCTTTTTTGCTCGATAGTATACGAGTTTCCAGGGCCGAGCAATGCCCTTACCTACAGTCAGAAGAAACAAGAGTCAGAGGGGTCTGAAAAGGCTGGAGTGAAATAGTCACAACTGCAGCAGGGACCCAGGACAGCCTCCCTCTGTAGCTGCACTAACTATCCTCAGCCCCGTGCTGGTCCCGCAGAGCTGGCCTGGGGAGCAGACGCCTGCCATCATTGCTGCCCTGGAGAGCTTTGCAAACTGGATGCTAAGGCACTGGAGACTCCAGATTCTGGTCTACTCAGTTCACGGAAAAGACCCATAGAAGGCAAAGTATTTTTAACATCATTTGAATTAAAAAGAGAAACACCCTAAGGCAGGGGACACACATCAACAGTTCTCCATAAGATGAAACTACATTTTTCTTGCTTTCCCTCTCTAGAAGACACCACCCCACCCTCCTTTACTTGGCTCCTTTACTGCATGGCCTCCTAATCTCCCACAGCATCCTGAAGGAGGGCCCCAGCCCCAAGCACACAGCCCACCTCAAGAACTGCAGGGGACCAAGGTGCATGTAGGCATGGGCTTTGTGCAGCACATGCAGAGTAACAAGAATGGGACAAGACACCAAAAGCCACAAATATTGCCAAGTAGGAAAGACCAAAAGTGATCACTTTTTTTTTTTTTTTGATACCAGAGATTGAACCCAGAGGCACTTTACCACAGAGCCACATCCCCAGCCCTTTTTATTTTGAGACAGGGTCTCACTAAATTGCTTAAGGACTAAGTTGCTGAGGAAGGTCTCAAACTTATGATCCTCCTGCCTCAGCCTCCAGGGTTGTTGGGATTACAGGCATTTGCCACCGTTCCTGGTTTAACTTTATTTTTCACAAAATTCATAAAAGCACTGCAGCTGGGAGACATGGACACGTTCCAAATCCCCAAAAGTTCAGACTGGCAGTAAGAATGCTATTCACCACAGCAGCAATTAATACGTACTGCAGGCAGGGGATGGGAAAACTGGAGGGTCAGGGTAAGCACTTCTGAACTCACCAATGTGCACCCTAAACGCATGCTTTCTTTTCAATTCAGTAATGGCAGACTTCTCCTCTGGGTATCTGTCTGTGTATAGCAGCTTGTCCGCATTTTCAATTCCTGTCAGAGACAGAAATTCTTGCACATTTTTCTCTATCTGCTTATTTTCCTTTGCAGAAAATTTGCCAAATCTAATAGCAACACCTAGGATTGAGGAGGGGAAAGGGAGAGAGAGTAGGTTTTGTCAGTAAGAACAAAAGCAAACCCCTGGCTCTTAGAGCACCAGGCCCACCTGTGAGGAGCAGCTGGGCTGGTGCCCTTGCCCTTCATCCCAAACCCCACCTTCAGAACCCCTCCCTTCCTTCAGATTTCCCCCAAGGTCCTCCCTGCTCATCCCAGTCAACTTTCCTACTTCATCAATCTTCTAAAAATAGTTAATATTTATATTAACTATTATGAATAACATATATTCATTAAAAATCCAGATAGCATTAAGTGAAAAGTTTAAAAAAAAGTCCCTTCCCTCCCCACATGGAGGGTGGTGCTCTACCTAGGCCGGCAGGAAAGTGTCAGAGGTGTCCAATGCATACACTCTGGGGAAGGGCAGCAGACATCACACCCTCTTCCTGTTCACCAAGCAAAGCACTCATTGACTGCTACATAGTATATTTTTCTTTCTTTTCTTCCTTTTTTATGTGCTGGAAATCCAAAGATTGTCTTTTTGTTCTCAAATTTATTCTAAAAATACTTTTCTTTGGTACCAGGGATTGAACCCAGGGGCACTTCACCACTGAGCCATATCCCCACCCTTTATATTTTGAGATACGGTCTCACTGAATTGCTTCGGGCCTTGCTAAGTTGCTGAGGCTGGCTTTGAAATTGCAATCCTTCTGCCTCAGCCTCCCAAGTCACTGGGATTAAGGTGTGTGTAATTGCACTCAGTCTAAGAATACTTTTTATGAAATACATAACTCAAAAAATTTCAAGATGGGGCTGGGGTTGCGGCTCAGTGGTAGAGCGCTCGCCTCACATGTGAGAGACCCTGGGTTCGATCCTCAGCACCACATATGTCCACGTATAACTAAAAAAAAAATTTAAAAAAAATTTTAAGGTAATGTTAATAAAAAGGATTAAAATCAATAAAAAGGACGCTTAGAAACTACTCTATAAATGGTGTGCACATGTAGTTTGTCTATTTCTACATCTCTTCAAACTGATAAACTCGTTTTACTTTCTTCACTGACCAGTGCTATTGGGCCTCCCCAGGTAGACATGCAGGAAATGGTGCTCATTTGCAGAACACAGCCTACACCAAGCACTGAACCAAGGAGAGCAGGTTCTGCCTGCTGGAGTCCATGCCCACCACAACCAGCTCATCCTCAAATCACCATTTTAGGGAAAGAAATTACACTTCATCTCAGTTGACATTAAGCTGCCAATATTTTAATTTTATTATCTCCCTTGTGTCCTCCACCAGAAGTGGGGCAAGGAGGAAAATGCAGGCCCTTCATTTTGTCATTCCACGGCTCAGAAAACAACACTGGGAGGAGAGAGCCCAAGGGGCTAAAGGATGTTTTTTCTGTGAATCTGTCAACCTGAATCACTCATGACACAGCCCAGGAAAGTCCAACCTCCACTAGGGGCCACAACCTCACCCTGAGCTTTAAATTCTTTAAACCGTCCCAAGTCGTCACGGTACATCCGCTTGATGGTAGTGGCAGCCCTGTCCTTTATGTCAGGAATGAACTCCTGGAGCTGCCTCACGGCGGAATCCAAGTCCACATCTGAGTCACCAGACTCTCTCTGCTCTTCAGATAAACGTCTTGCTGTGGAATCCCCAGGCAATGCCAAGCCATGCTCTTCCTCAACTGCAGGGTTTAACCTAAGAGGGAAACCGGGTTAAACACTGACTATCGCTTGCCCTGACGGCCAGTCAACTGCTTTCCTAAATGACCCTCAGTCTACCAGAGTTCAAGTTAGACAGGACCTTGGAGTTGATTCAGCTCATGATTCTCAACGTAACGATGTACATGGATATGTGTCCAAGGTGGCCTAGGAAGTAATGTGAAGCCCTAATTCTACCAAATACTGTTTATACTACTATTTCTCATCTTTTTTTGATTTTAGATATTAACTCTCATCAGTAAAACCCTCTTTTATTTCCACTAAGAATCAGAATTGAAAAAACAATTCTTCCAGACCCTCCCAATGAGCTGAGCTTTATAACACGATGTTACCAAACGGTTAGGTCAGTGTTCCGGGTTGGCATAGTCAGAGTTGTTTTTACTCAGATAGTTAGGGCCTCATTTTCTCCTCTGATTTATTTTCTATATAAGTACCGTAAGTCCTCCCCAAACTCTCTGCAAGGCGCCCCCATCTGCCCTTAGTATGCTCGGTCACATCAGCGACCCTCTCAGACTGGCACCACCGGAGGGAAGGGAGAACAGCTTCCAGAAACTCACAACTGAGGTGAGCTAAGAGCCACACTCCGGCACCACACTCCAGCACCACACTCCAGCACACTCCTGCCTCGCAGCAATCAGTGGTCTGGAAACTGATCTGGGTATCAGTTTGGGAAAAGGGTCGGGTGGGTCTGTGTGTGGAAACTTTCCTCACACGAGGACAGAGGACACAAGTGGGCCCATGACTCTCATCAACGCCACCTGACATGCCCTCCTCATAACTTTCATGTGGAAATATTTTAAGCCAGAACAGGCGTGAGAAAGTCACTGAGTCAAAATGGGGAGAAAATCGGTCCTGAGGGACTATGAGATAAAGTGGTCTTTAAAAAACCTCTTTATCTTCATCCATCATATAGCATACTTAAATAGTATTTATATAAATAATGGTTTCACTAAATTAACATGTAGTGACAATATTAAACCAAGATTTTTTTTTTTTTTTTGGCTGTTCTACAGAATGTGAAGTATAGTATATCAAATCCTTCTTCCTTTTTATGGATGCATTTTGGGATCTTAAATATCTTTTCAACTTATAGAGTTTCAGGATTCAAAATAGCTCTTACTGAAATCTAGTTTAATTGCTTTCCTTTAGACATGAAGATATTAAGCCACCTGCCAAGTGTGCTCAACTAAATATGTGCATTATTCTGCATGTGAAAGCGCCTGTGACACCTGCCACTTACTGCCCTGTGCTGAAGGAAGAGGCCTCACGCACACAGCACAAGGCAGCCACTCTCACCTACCTCTGTGTCTCTGGCACCTGCTTCTCCCCCTGCGCGGCCTGGGCTCTCCCCTCTAGGGGCCGGACTGTCACCCTTTCTTCCATCATGGTGCTTTCGCAATCCGGTGAACCAGAGCGCGTGTTCCCAGAGTTTTCATCCAGTGCTGAAGAACCACCAGACTCCACAGGGCTTTCCGTGGAGACGTGCCTCCTCCTCTTGGCCTTCTTCACAGCACTGGACCTTCTCACCCTCTTTAGTGTGTCACTGCCTTCTCCAGCCTCTGCTTCAATGGCCACCTGAGGTTCTTTGGGGGGATGGTGAGCTAGATCCCCAGGCCCCGCTGAGGCCTCCCATTCCTGCACGCTGGACCTTTTCCTTTTTTTTTTCTTAGACTTCTTTTTACCAGTGGACACTGGTGGTTCTGCGATTTCCCCTTCAAGGCTCAGAGAAAACAAGGGTGGCTGAGCCGGTGACTCCAGCTGGGGCAGGACATTGCCCCCTCGAGGGCCCTCAGGTGCTGCGACTCCCCCCGGCTGGCTCCGACTCTTTCTCCCCCTGGCTCCGCTCCACGGCTCCTCTGGCCCACCTTTAGGAGACTCAGTGGTCGCGTGCTCACCCACCACACACCCTTCTGCTGAGTTTTGCTCTCTGCTGATATCTACGTAGACGACATCCATGTCTCTCCCCAAGTTCTTGGGCGTGTTCTCAATGTTTTCTTTATCCACGAGGACATAAGCAACCCCTGTTTCCCGGTCTACCCCCAGAGCACTCTTTCTCCTCTTTTTCTTCTTCTTGTTTGTAGAAGTAGCCTTTTTAGTCTGATCACAGATTTCTGGTTTTTTCAAAGGAGAAGAAATTAGAAGCTGGAAATCTTTTTTCTTCTTACTCTTAGTTATTTGAAGCTGGTCACCTTCCAGAGAGGAGATTCTGAAACTTTCATGGGCATGTTTCTGGGGTCTTTCCTTATATGCAAAGTACTTTTTGTTCTTCTTGTCAAAAACTGGAGTATAATTCTCAAATCTGTTTGACTCTCCTTCCATTTTATTCCTACAGGGAAATGTGACAACAACTTTTATTTAATTTTTAAATGTATTTGCATTTTATTTTATTTTGGTACTGGGGATTTAACCCAGGGGTACTTTACTGCTAAGCTACATCCCCAGCTCTTTTTTAAAATTTTGATACAGGGTTTTACTAAGTTGCTTAGGGTATTGTTAAGTTGTGGAGGCTGGCTTGAACTTGTGATCCTCTTGCCTCAGCCTCAGAGTCACTGGGATTACAGGTGATTATCCTGTAATCAGGATTACCCTGCCCAGCAATTTTTTGGATTTTAAACATTAGCGTGGGTGGGGAGATCTGGCAAAATGAAACTATATGACAAACAAGAAGCCTGGAAACATAATTGTAAATTATATATATTATTAAAAATGCAGAGGAGGCTTACTGCAACCAACTGTCCAGTCCCATTGCCTTTATGATGTAAAGGACAGCACTCTGCACACTCAGGTCCCTGCCCCTCACAGTCTCATCTCTGACCTGTCCAGCTGTGCTCCTGCCACATATGCCTTGTTATGGTCCTTTAAATATGCCCTTGGGTCTCCTGGGTGACCTCTGTTGACTCCCACCCTCTGGCCTCCTGCCATCCCTCACAGCACAGCTTTAAGGTCACTTCTTCAACAAAGTTTTTGTTGCCCCCTGGGGCTTGGCCCACTCACCAAATGGTATCTTTCACAAAAAAAAAAAACTATACTTCTCTTTGGTAGCATTTAGCCTAGTTGTAATTTTAGTGTCCAACAAAGAGTAAAAATCCTGCAATGTGCTGGAATAAATTTGCATAAGGCTGTAAGGGTAATACAAATACATAAAGAACACACATTTTAGAATTTAAATATAGTAAGAAACTTATCTTACCAAAGAGAATGGTTAAAAAATAAAAATTTGTAAATGTCACATACTTCTTGCTCTATATTGGTTCTGAGTTCACAATTTTAGATTTTATTTGTTTATGACTAGGTAATTCATTTATGTGGTTCATAAATCAAAAGAATCTCCTTGCATTCCCCCTCCTGAGCACCCAAGTATTCTGATCTGCAGCTGCTGCTGTCACTAAAGGACAGACCCTCATAGCCTCAAGCCTGAAGGCTGTGTTTTCTGCAGAAGGCATGTAATTTATCTTGGGGAATAAATGGCAGCTGAGAGAACAGGGCTGCTGAAAGAAAAGGATATGAAAGAACATCTTACACTTCAAGGCAAGTCCCTTGGCCCCTGGACCTTATCTCCCATGCAAGCACTGTTGTGGTGTGAACTGATAAATACAATCAATAAGAGTAAGTTGTAGGTTATAGATTAGTAAAGAATATAGATCATAAGATTTTGATAAGTGAGATAATTATAAAGCAAGAACTGTCATAGGCAGGCTTAAGACTCCATTTTGCCACCTTCTAAAAAAAAAAAACTATTATAAGAGCTATTTCTGAGAAACTGAAGTGAAAACTGTTTTCTTATAAAAATTGTCTTTCTGTACTTTGTACCCCACAAATTGTACCCTACTCAGGATGCAGCAGTGGTCGTGGTGCGCTACATCCTGGATTTGAATGCCCTTGTGGGTCTATATGACTTTGAAGTAGATTCTCGCCCTGCCAACTCCCGCCCAAATTCAGGATGTGACTGTCTAGCACTTGCTTGAACCCAGGACTGTGGTCAAATGAACTGCAAAGCTAATGCTTTTTTTTAGCTTCTGTTTATCCACTTGCTTGCTGACTGGAAAACTCCAGTCCTGCCTACAGCCCATAGGTCCCACTTATTAGTGTTTAATTTCTGTAACTGGCTAGCTTACATGGCGATAAGCAAGTCACTGAGTTGTGGTTTTTGTCCTTATATTCTTCTTGGATGGACCAGGAAGCTGCTGTCCTATCACAGAACTTTTTTAGTCTCTATACTGGGTTACAGTCCCTGGCCAGGTAAATAAAGATCTTTTTTGGTTTGAATTCTGACTTAAGAGTGCTTTCTGAAGCGGCTCCTCCCCTAACAGCCCCTAGAGGTCTGGTGGCCTCCTCCCAGTTGTCAAGCAAGCTGGGAACCACCCTCCAGAAAGACAAGGGGTGTATGACCTCTCTGAGGACTCAGCTATAGCAAAAATGAGTACTGTGTTGACTCCCTACTCAGATAGGGTCTAGCAGGTTTTGTCTTATGCACCTGTATAGCCCCAGCATCTAGCAGAGTACCTGGCTCTTAGGAGGAGCTCAATGAATGTCTTTTTTTTTTTTTTGGTACGGAAAATTGAACCCTGGGGGCCTTAACTACTGAGCCTTTTAAATTTTTACTTAGAGACAAGTCTCATTAAGTTGCTTAGGGCCTAAGTTGCTGAGGCTGGCTTTGAACTCCTCAGCCTCCTGAGCCACCAGCCACCATGCCCACCTGGCTCAATGAATGTCTTCTTGAATAAATCAGTGCCTTCTCTTTGGCTGCCCTTAACCTGCTCAGAATGGCTGAAGGAAAAAAACCTCACAACTAGACAGAAGGGAACCGCTGCAAATAGTTGGTTCCTGACTACAGATGGGACTTGAACACTGCCCAGAAATCCAACTCTGTTTCTCTACATCTATGTGCCCTAGAGGGTAGCTAGAAGCCACATGAGGCTTCTGAGCTCTTGAAATGTGGCCAGGCCAAACTGCACTTATTGTAAAATATGTGTTGCATTTCAAGATTCAGAACAAGAAGGTAAAATATCTCATTAATAATATGCTGACTTAATGTTGAGATCAGAGTTTGGGTATTGGGTTAGGTGAAATACACTCCTAATTCTACTTGTTGCTTTGATAACTTTTAATGTGTTTACTAGCAAATTGTCAACGACATACATGGCTTGTATTGTACTACTTTGGATAGCCTTGCTCCAGGCACTTCATTCACTTTTTTTTTTTTTAATTTTTTTTAGTTGTAGATGGACACAATACCTTTATTTTGTTGTTGTTGTTGTTTTTTAAGTTTTATGTGGTGTCAGGGGATTGAATCCAGTGCCTCACCCATGCTAGGCAAGCACTCTACCCCTGAGCCACAATCCCAGCCCCTCTTTACACTGTTCTTGAAATATTTCAAAGTTCCTTCACTTCAACAAAGTTCTAAATGCCATTCTTCTCTCTCACTTGCAGCAGACAAACCTGCCTCCAACTTCACACTCATACAATTTAGAAAAGAAACACTTCACCTTCCAAACCCAACATCCCTGCTTCATCCTCTCCCCTTCTCTTGCTGCAACAAAGCATCCCTTCTCCTGACAAAGGCCATTTCCAGCCATGTGTGTGCTGGATCCCAACCCTCTTCTGCCTTCTCAGAATCATAATCTTGCCCTTGAACACACCCACTACAGGAAGGAGATGCCTGCTGAGGATATGGAAAGTGAATACCTCCCAATCAACAAGTGAATCCTAATGTGCCATCAGGAAGCCCTGGGACCCCCTACCAGAGCACCTGAAACGTAAATCTTGACAAGTCCCTTTAAAACCTCCCTGTCCCCCTGGATCTGGAGAGTCACAACCTTTGGGACAGGAGTCCCAGGTGTTTCTCCTTTGCTAGCAAAGCAATAAACCTTCTTTTTCCTTTTTCTCAAAACCGTGTCCTCATTATTAAATTGCCACTGATTGGCATTGGGGACAGGGATCAAGCTCTCAGTTACAAGGATGACCTTTCAAATATATAGTCATTACCTGCTAAAAACTTTTTACGGCTCCGGGACCACAAGGCTCTAGGATTGGTCCTGATCCGCCCGGTCGGCCCAGCTCTCCACCTCTCACCTGGGCTGGGTGTCGGACGCCGCCGTCCCTCAGTTCCCACAACACACCACGCTCCGACTCCTCCCGGGCCCAGCAAAGACCGCTCTTCCTCCGCGCCGCCCTCCTCCCTTCAACTGGGCCAGGCACGGAGGCCCTTTTCTCCAGCGTCCCGGGCCCCTGGGTGCACCCGGCTTCCCCGCGCACAACCCGCGGCCCTCAGGCTCCCCCGGGCTCGAAACTCATCCGACCGACGGGGCCAACGGCTCCCCCCGCGAGCATGCGCCATTCGCAGTCCCCGCAGTCCCCGCCACCTCCGGGCGGCGAGGTGAGGCGGACTTCGGGCCTCCTCCCACGCCGTCCGCCTCAGTTCCGGGTGGCGAGGCCAGGAGTAAGCGACGCCGGCCTCCCTGCGCCCCAGCGCGTCCCAGGATAACGGGGTCATCACGGTCGCCAGCCGGCGCTCAGCCACCAGGACCCCGCCAACTCCCAAGCCTTCCAACCTACCCCGCAGGACCGTCGCAGCCAGCCTTCTGACCCGGAAGTGCTGCCGCCGCGCAAGCGGAAGTAGTCTTACGTCGCCTTCCGTTCCTCTCGGCGTCGCGCTGCCATAGTAACTCGGCTCCGCCCGAAATGGCGCATGCGTAGTTGCCTGCCCGCGTGTTTCCCGGAGTCTTAGGGGAAGAGGTCGAGTAAAAGGTGCGACAAAGTAAAAACCAACCAACAAACAAAAATGGTTGACCATCAGAATTGTAAAGAAACTTAGCTTATGATTCAGATTAAAGCTGGCGATGTAGCTCAGTGGTAGAGGTCTTGCCTAGTACAAGTTCCATCTCCAGCACCACAATCAGGTCATCAAACCTTTTCGCATAGTGAACATACCCATCTAGGCAACAAATTTTTCATTTAATTTCATAACAGCCCTTCTGTTGGAGGTATCTTCATTAGATAATGCTTTAGTCCCATCCTGCGAATAAGAAAACTGGGGCTTTTGGTAACTTGTCCAACATGCCGTTCCTGGCCTAGAATTCCAACCTGTGCTCTTTCCATTATCACACCATCCTGCCTGTGTGAGCGGGCGAAGCACCTTTGATTGCAAAGTGCAGAGCTCTATGTCTGTGAAAGTCACAACACAGGCTGGAGAGCCAGGAGCGTGCATGTGCCCACGCTGCCACACAGGGCGGCTCCAGGCCTGGGTGAGCAGTCGAAAATCTGTCTATTCTGCTCAGCTAATGCGTTGACTGTGCACTATTGGTGTGTAAAGCCTCAAAGGTCAGATTGATTGTCATTGCAGCCAGCCCTCCAGTGAACCCAGAGCCTTGGATAAGTGAATGTTAACATGTTTAATGAAGATGCAAATGACAGGGGCTGGGGATGTGGCTCAAGCGGTAGCGTGCTCGCCTGGCATGTGTGCGGCCTGGGTTCGATCCTCAGCACCACATACAAACAAAGATGTTGTGTCTGCCGAAAACTAAAACTAAAAAATAAATATTAAAAAAATTAAAAAAAAAAAGATGCAAATGATGGATGAATGAATGCACAAAAGGAGATACTGGGAGATTACAGATCAACAGGCTACTGGGTCCAGAAACACTGCATCAATCACCTGGGCAGCTTTATAAAAATGCAGATTCCCAACTTTACATTATGAACTGCATATTAGATGTTATTATGGCATGACATTAAAATCCTTGGACATGATAAGAACATTATAGTGATGCACAAAAATGTCCTAGATACAGGATGAAATATTTAGGGTCAAAGATATTATTATTTGAGATATTTTCAAATATATCAGTTGTGTGCACATACATGCCCATGCACACGTACTCTCAAATGTAAAAGCAAACATGGCAAGCTCAAGGATCAATGAAACTTGGTGAAGTCTATATGGTTTACAATTGTAGCCTTCTTTCAATTTCTCTGTAGATTGGAACTTTTTCAAAATAAAGTTTGGGTGGATTAAAATGCAGGGTGTCAGGGACTGCTTCCAGATAATTTCATTCAGTGAGTCTGGATTGAGTCTTGTGGAACTGAGTTTTTCTTTCTTTTTATTGTAGTGGGATTGAACTCAGGCGTCACTTTATCACTGAGCTCCATCCCCAGCCCTTTTTATTTATTTATTTTATTGTTGAGATAAGGCCTCGCTAAGTTGCTGAGGCTGGCCTCCAATTTTCGATCCTCCTATCTCAGCCTCTGGAGTCCTAGGATGACAGGTGTACACCACCTTGTCCAGCAAATCTGAGTTTTTCAATCTCTCCCCATTCTATTGCACAAAGTTGGATACCAGTGATCTAATCCAACTTTAGATTCTCCTTCCAGCCCATTTCCCAGAAGAAAAACTGGGGATCCAACAGGGGTAGTGCCTGGGGATGCCCCTATGGGTTAGCAGCAGCTTCATTCAGCCTTGGTATGTGGATTTCTTTTTCACCGTGAAGGTGTTACCGCTGTTTACCGGTGACAAGTTCTTGCTTCCCCAATGCTGAAGTATAACAGCAGAGAAGCACACCGAAGCAAGTTTAGAGTGGAAAGTAGAAGCTTTATTAAAGGTTACATTTATAAAAGACTTCTCCCTGAGGAAGAAGGGGACCCAAGAGGTGGAATGCATGGAAGGAGGTCTTCCCTCTTTTATAGCTAAGGTCTACTTTCAGCTTTCCCGCCTTCCTGTCGCATTCCTGTCCTTTGTTCTGTTATCTTGCAGTGATGGAATGTAGGTGGGAAGGCCCAAAGGGTTGGGGACAGGTGGGCCGAAAAAGTAATCTGGGCAGGAAGGGTTTTTGGATTAGCACCTCCTTGTTTGTTGGGAGCTGCTTCATTAACATTTCCTTGTGGAAAAAAACAAAAAACAAACAAAAAAAAAAAAAAAAAAAAAAAAAACCACATTTCCTTGGGATGGGCTCTGGGCCTTGGGGACATTTTCAATTCCCCCAAGCGCTGCTCTGGTTTCCTGTACTATAATGGCCTCCATTCTTGATTTTACTCGATATTAGACAGATTTATCTAACTACACTAACTTCCTATCTTAAATCTGGCTTCAAAGGTTTTAGCGCGGTAGCTCGGGTGTTTGCGTGCAGCTCAAGGCACAGGCTGGGAGGGCGCCATGAGTGGGGTCTTTGGATGGAAAGAAGGTAACTTTGACCAGGAAGTCAAGTATAAATGGCCCTCTAGAATCCTATGTCTTGGGCACAACTCAATAGTAATTCTTGGATTTCTCTGATGTTTTAAGAAAACCCTAAAAGGTCCATCTTGCTGGCCGCCAATAGTTTCAGGAAAGAGCTAGCGTAGGTTTGGGAGCTGTTGGCGTCCTGTCGCCAAGGAGACGGGACTGTTCCATGCCTCCTCAAGGGGTGGCCTTGGTCTCCTTTCCTCCCGGATCCGCAGCACCGAGTCCCAGACACACTCTGAGGAACCAGCGGTGCTTACGTAGGTTCCCGAGGCTCCTTGCACCGAGAGGGCGCCGCGAGGTGCGCACGGCCGGCTCCGGAGGTGGCCGGCATCCAGCGCCCACCCCGGGGTTTTAGTGGTGCGGCCCGAAGCGAGCTGGGACCTCAGACGTGGGAACGAGCCAGGCATCCAGCCCTCGGGGCGACTCCGGGGCGACTCCACGGCGACCCCCAGGATGCCAGAGGCCGGGGACTCCCGCCAGGACCTCAAGCGGTGGAAGAAGAAGAAGCAGCAGGTGCATCGCACTGTCAGCCAGATCTGCCCGCCCCCTCGGCGGCCCCTGACGGTGGCTGACATCCGCCCAGGCATGGAGAACGAGAGGCTGGGGGTCGTGCGGGACTCCATGTTTCAGAACCCGCTCATCGTCAAGGTGAGCCACCCACAGTCAAGGGTTTCCAGCCATCAAGTCCTGGGTTCGAGGGCAGCACTGGGGACTCCAGCTCTGGTCCAGACAGACCAGGACCTCTGCAGGGTCAAAGGCAGGTCGCGTCGCCTCTCTGAGCCTCAGTTTTCTCATCCTCAAAGTGGGGTGATAACGACACACGTGAACGGGAACGGCTGGGAAGACCGAATGGGGTAATCCCAGCAGGACCCTTGCCCAGCGCGACGTTGGCTGCTGTGGTTTCCCCAGCAGCTGGCCGGTGACCCCGCAGGACGTTCATTACCACCTGTCAGCCCCCCAGCCCCCAGTGAAGGCCGCCTTTTGCTTTCCTCTGTGCGCCTGGGCTACTTCTAGGCAGCAGGTGCTGTGTGTCTCTCCTGGACAGAACGCGTCACAAGTTAATTTCCGTCTTTCTGACTCTTACTTTATCCAAATCACAACCTCAGGAGAAAAAGCGCGCATCTCCCACCTAAGAGGCCCCCCGGGCACTCGCAGGGCGTTGCGTTTTTAGTTAGACTACCTAGCCTTTTACTTACTGTCCGCTTCGGGGCACGTTAGTGTCTTTTCCTGCCAGGTGGGAACCCGCACGCCGTGGTGGCACTGCCACACCTCCCTCCCTCCCTGCCACAAGAAAAGTCAGGTTGAAGTTTGGTGGTTGAGGAGCCAGCCATGGAGCAAATTGATTTTGCGCCACTGGAGGGCAGTGTGCTTTTAAAAATGCACTTGGTTTCCCAGGCGCGTGGGAAGGGCGCTGGAGGGAACCGTGGGCTCAGCAACCGGCCCAGCGCCGGTTAGAGCGCGGAGGGTTTTGTTGCCGGGGTTGTTTTTTGCTGTTTTCGTGAAGGGAATGTAGGCTTTCCAGATGATGCGCCATTATCGGTGATGAGCTCTGCTCCTTCACAGGTTGAAGTATAACATTAGAGAAGCACACCGAGGATGTTAAAACAGGGTTTGTTCAAAAAGGAGTAACACAGACTACTCCTGGGAGGAAGAAGGGGGCCAAAGGTGTATCCTGTATCCCCAGAAGCGAGGGGTTCTGCCTTTTTCTGTGTCCCAGGCCTCCTTCGTTCTCCTGCTGTCTTCCCCTTAGCTCTCTCCTTCCGGCACTATGAGTAGGCCCAGGAGATGCTGGGTGGATGGCCAAAAGGTGAGAAGCCACGGGCTGGGGGGCCGAGTGGGAGTGATCTGGGCAGGAAGGGGACGTAATTCACCACTCCCTGTAGGGAGGGACAATCCTGAGACAGGTTATCTTAGCAACAGGTTGGAGCAGGGGCAGGTTATCTTGATAAGGGTGGAGGAAGGGCTCTGAAGGAATTAACATTTCAATTCCCCCATTCTCTGGATCTGACCCTGCCTGTCTGCCTGTCCAATTCTGGCTTCATTGACACTGCAGAATTAACAGAGTTGGCTGGCTGGGGAAACACAGACTCTTTCCTCCCATATTCCCTGAGATATGTTCCTGCAGAGGGTGTACAGTGCAGGGAAGCGGCAGCAGCGCCTTTCCAACCAATAGCCCCCACCCCCAGTGGAACAGGGTCCTTCACTTACTTCAAGGTGAGAAGAGGCACTCTCAGCGGACAGAGGGGTGAGTTGGGTCCACCATTCTGGGATTGAGGAGAGAATGGAGGCCACAGCCCCTGCTACAGCTCCTCTGATGTTAGATCATTACTGTCATTCCAGTGTGACCAGTGGCCCAACTCCTTCCTGAATGCACAATGAAGGGCACTGTAGCCATCCATCCCAAGCGACGCTTACTTTTGTGTGTATTCATACATACATTATATAGTGTGCATATATAATATGTGTATACTCATGCACATATGGTTTACATGTATTGTACATACACGTATATATAGTATAATATGCATGTGTATGATATGTATACAATATACATGATATAATGTAGTTAATATACGCACATATGTGTAAAACAATGTGTATAAATATATATGTAAAATCCCCCATATGAAGTTCAATATTTGGCCTCTGGGTGGCAATAGCGGAACATCTTCCAGGAAGAATGGGCTCTGAATGCGAGCTTAGGATGAAAACGTAGAGTCCATCACCAACCTTTGACTGCGCCTCTGTCTTCAGGGCTGGCAGGACCGTCCTGGCCTTTGGGGACCATGCAAGAGCAGTAGGGGTCCCCCACCCAAGCTTTGCGGTGACTGACCCTGGGGTTCTCTTCTGCCAGGAGCTGCCAGGATGCAGCCTTCCCTGGGACCGCCCTTGGATTCTTCACCTTTCTGTAGCGGTCAAGTTGATATCCACATCACAATACTCTCCACATCCTGTAAGATCTAGCAAAACCTGAACTGGGGTTGGCGGCCTGGACGTGACTGTTCCTTCCAGACCCCCTTACAAAACAGCGCCCTGCAGTCCCTTCTGCCTGGCTTTGTGCTTTGGGTTCTGGCAGAGCCTGGGTGGGCGGCTACTTCCACTGCCCCTCAGCCCCAGCATTATTTTTACTGCTTAAAAAACAGCATCCTGTATGTGAAAGAAAATTTGAATTATGAAACTTTGAGGGTTTGGACTTTTTTTAAAAAAGGAAGAAATTGAAAATGTTTAAGGCTGTGGAGCCTTATGATAATGATGATGTTACTAAAATTTCTGTTGAGTTGGCTTGTGGATTCCTTCACTGAGGCCCACCCAGTTCACTGGCCCAGAGTTTCAGGTCCTGTGCCTCCTCGCGGGTGGCAGTGGTCGGGAGTGCCTTCCACCCATTTAGAGGATAACTGGAGCTGAGGCATATTTTGCTTTTGTCTAATCTGAGCTTGAAGCTGTGCATTTCTATTGAGGGAAGCTAGTGCCTTAGAAATAGTAGTTCATCCCACCATATTGGAGGTTGTCGCTTGAATTGTTTTTTGCAGTGGGTGGAATGTTTTCAGAATTGTTTTATTTAAAATGCAAAGACACTGACTGAACAAACCCAGCACTGGTATTTCCCACCCAATGAATTTACCAGGACGTGTGCACATCAGTTATTCAAGAACATGTCTGCAAGGTGCCACGGTAACCAAGTGAAAAGTGAGAATCCCAGACATTCAAGCAAGCGTTTTACCTTACAAATGCTCAACAACTAGCTGCCTCATTTAGAACAAGACGACTGGTTATTGAACGGGATTTAATTGCATCAAGATGATGTTTTATGTGGCCACAAAAGGACGTAGCTGTTCTCATTAGGACGGACCTCTCCTGCGCTGTGTAAAGTGATGTGCAGGCAGAAGTGTGCCTTCCAATGTGACTCCCTGGAAGAATAAAATTAAATAAAGAACCGAGCTTCTCCTTGCTTGATTCTCATTTCCCCAGAATCCTGTGACTCAACACAGAATCTGGCAACACTAGCCTTCAAGGCTCCCTCACAAAACCTGTCAGGGGCGCACCCTTCCTGCCGTCGGGACTCCGCTGATATCCTGTCAATACAATTATGGGGAGAGACTGCTTGGTTTGCTCCACTGACAGCCTGGAATCTTCTGTCGCCCTGGAGAGGGGCTGCTTACAGGGGTGGAATTTATCGAATCGAGCGTCCTTGGAAAGTGCAAATGATCGTGGCACCTGAGTTCTTCATAATTTATTACTGACTTTGTTTTTCTGTGGGGATTTATGTCACAAATAAGAAGTGCATGCATTTGTGAAATAGAGTTATAGAATCACACAGCATTTGGGGCTAGAAAAAAGCTTACACACAGCTAATCCAACTCCTCTTTCTCTCTCTCTCTCTCTCTCTCTAGCATATTAAGGTCTGGTGAGGTGAAGAGACTCACCAGAGGAGCTATTCTTACCTGGTAGGTAGAAATGACATGAGGCACAGGTCTCCTGACTTTAGATTCCAAGTTCTATTGGCCTTAACTGACGATTAATCAATCATCCTGCATAGCAGACAGTCAGAAACTGTCACAAATGAATCTGATTCCAACGTCATTTCACTCAACCTTCCTTCTCAAGTGAGCTCTACTGATTTCACGGGACTTGTTGCTAGCAAAGAAATATTTACTAAATGTTCACTAAATGCCCAATACCATCCTAAGCTCTTGGGAGTTTAGAACTCAGCCCTTGCCCACAAAGAGTTAACCATTTAATATTTAGCTGGGGAGATGCGACACACACACACACACACGCACGCACACACACACAAGCACACTCAAGACAGGCAATGTCCTGAGTCACCCCCTGTGAACGGCGCTACTCAGAAGGGTTCAGTTCTTGAACCCAGGGGGAAGCTACGCTGGCAGGACTTGGGAAGGCTTTATGAAGGAACAGATCTGGACCTGGAACTTAAAAACCAGGTTCATATCAGGATGAAAGGGTGAGGAAAAACAAAAAACAAAAACCCAGCCCTCTGGGGCCCATGGAGTCCAGCCCCTAGATCCAAAGTGTTAGTCGGCTTTGCCTCCAACTCAAGTCCAGTCTGTAAGAGTGGTGCCCCTGGTGGGATCTTTACCATTATCATCCCGAGGAAGCAATTATTCAGAGTGTTCGAATCAGACACTACAAAACCAGGCAACCACCCCATGCCCAGTAAGAGCTGAACTTCACTAATATACACGGATGCCGGTGAACACAGGTGCTGAGGCAGAGACAGAGCAGAGAAGGCAGGGCACAGCAACACAGCCGTGCTCGCACCCCAACACAGGTCAGTGGCTGTGTTAGGTCGCAGCACGGTGTAAAAACACTACCGACTTGTTTTCTCTTCTGAAGAGGCTCGGCCTCAGATTTATATGCAGTTACCATGTAATAGGAACAAATCAATGTTAGGGAGGGCTTAGGAACAGCGGCCCCTCCTAATGGCAGGTCCTGCCGCCAGGGGGAAGGGCTTTTTTCTAGGGACACCAGGTGATTCTCGGTCCTCGCAGCTCCTTTCCCCATCTTTCTGATTCAGAGCTTTCCCCTTCCTGGCGCCCAGATGGCCTTCAGTGAGTGCAGCCTGCAGCAGTGCCCTGTGCCCTGCCCAGGACTGTGGCCACTCCAGAGAGTGGAGCTGTCCCCTC